TACAAGATCGTCGTGGTTAATTATTAAACGAGTCGGGCTTGGTAGGATGAAAAAAAAAAACTTAAAACTTATTAAACGCCGCTCGAGATATTGAATTTTTACTTGGCTAAACGGAGAAATGGAAGAAGGGTCTTTCGAACTATGACGCGAGAAATATGCGCCACATCGCCCGGATAACTTCTTCTGCCTCGCCACGCAGGTATATTTTTAGTGGGACCTGTTCCTTGGGGGATCGAGAGAATGATTTTGCTTTTAAATTACCGATGATGCTTTTTCGAATAATTACGTCGGCCCGGCCGATTCAAATGAAGCATTCGTTTTTAATAGAACCACCTTTAGGGGTTCAATTTAAGAAATAATATGAACCGTAGAAAGCATAGTGCGCTTACGGCTGTATTGTCCGTAAATATTTTAAAGTCATGATGTTTGAGATATAATGAGGCTTTTAAACGAATATTCCTTACGAATGTCTCTTATTCGACAATGGAAGTTAATTGCGCGCTACGATTTGCTTTTATATTTCGAAAATTATGCTTATTGAGTTTGTTTTTTTTTTTTTTTTTTTCTTTTGCCTTAAGAGAAAGGTGCCACTCTTCCTCGCGCCGCCTTTAAAGGCGACAGGCTAATGCTGAAAAGTCGTAAATTCAAGGAAATGATCGCTACCTTAGACATCCATTCGTTCGTTCATCAAAGTATACGAATGTACATCTATTCGAGCACTTGGCGCAATTATTGCTCATCAATTTTGCAAAATTTCCGACATTTAAACATCTTTTTCGAATTGCAGAAATTGCAGGAACTATAATAATGTTAAAGACTAAATTGACGCCCTGGTCGATCGACGTGATTGCAGATATTTTTGAATTCTACGAGCGATTCGATGTAAGCGAAAAATTTTCGCTGAAGAATTACTTTAACGTGAGGTCAATATCAGCAATCTCTTTTTAATTGTGAGGTGAAATTAGATTAAAATTTCAAAATCCCTACAAAGATGGAACTATTATTTTTTAGTAAGTGGAGTAAAATCAGCTCGTTGCGGTAAGATAAGAATACGTAGATTACAACTTTCACGCTGTACGGCCAGCGCTAACCACATTATTTTCTACATGTCTAAGCATTTAGACTGTGCAATTTTTGTTGCAAGTTCACGGTTTCTCGAGCTCGAAATAACTACGTAAATGCCTGCAGGCCATTCCCGAAAGGTCAAATCAGCACTCGCGATCCCCTTCGTAGGAACAACCTTGTTAATAGTATTCTTATAAAGCGCCACAATTACCTTCCGAAAAATCATAAAATCAGTGTATTAAAGAGCCAGGGAGTATGCGAGCTACTTTTTCCTGGTGCGCAGTTTGCGCAGAAGCTACTTTCGCCTTTCGAGGACAGAGGTACTGGACGAGCGAAGATCGGTACCTCGCGTCCCGATAATGATTGCCCACCTCTTATCGGCCGTCCGGCTTACCCGGGCTCGGCGATAATAGCCCGTGAAAGTTCGGCGCCGGTTCCGTTTCCGCGTCCGGTAGCCGTTCGAACGAGGTGACCTTAAAAGAAGCAGAGTTGCCCGCTGCTAGCAGCGCAATAACGTCGGGGGCCCCGGACCCATTGTAAGTCTCGTACCGTTAATCTCTGCCCGACCCCCTCACCTCCTTTACTAATGCATTATGGTAAACGTGTTATCCTCTCGCGATAAAGATATTCTGCTCCACGTGCGTGAGCGCTGCCGACGTTCGTACGATTTTCCTGGGCGACTGAACGAGGCGAGCTTTTTTTCTATTACCAGAGCGTGTCTTCGCTGCCTGAGGATTCATTGGCATTGATTAGGGATGTAAGATAGAGTGTTTAGTGACGTGAAAGTGGGGAGCGTTGCTTTTGAATGTGGGGGTATATTGTTATAGTGGCAAATTAATTTAGGCCTATGTGTTAGTGCCGATAGCGACGGATCCAACTAGCTATTACGTATCAATGTAAAAATCATTTATCATAAGTCATGGCACACATATTTAAATTCGTTGGATCGATCTTTCAAAAGGCAGTGATAGAGAGCAGTTGAAAACGAACGAATTACAGAATGTATAATCTAGTATCATGAGTTTTATTTAATAATGGCGGGGCAACTTTTGATAATTTGAGAAACCTATAAAGAAACGGCATACAGTGGGGTTACTTATATATATATATATATATATATATATATATATATATATATATATATATATATATATCGCCTGGGCAAATAAAATAAAATTGTCTTTATTGATCAAGTTTTTAGGTCCTTGTAAAGAAATTTCGTATTTTGATCTCACAATTTTAAAACGTAATCACAACCTACTCCACGCTTCCATTTGTTAAAACAATATTGAAAAAAGCGTTGATTTAAAAATTATAAAGTAAATAAAGGAGTTGGCGTCTTGTAGTAGTATGAGACTATGCATATTACGTATATATGAATATGTAAGTATATATGAAGGAAGTAAAATGGAAGCAGCTGCAAAATAATGTGGCATTCCATTCGAATGCTACATATTATAGCACGAGAAGAGCCGCCGGAGAGCATCATCTCCTTCAAGGTCAAAGGTCAGAAGCAGCGGCAGACTATTCCCAACACAACTATGTATCAAAATACTTAACTACGTATATAATATATATGTATATATGCATAGATTTTTATCCATATATATGTATATATGTATAGATATGTATCGATATGTATATATGCATAGATACGTATCGTAATGTATGTATGTATAGATATTTATGTATATGTATGTAAATGACTCTATGTATGTTTGCGTTTGTTTCTCTCTCTCTCTCTCTCTGTGTGTGTGTGTGTGTGTTTACGTGCGCGCTCGGGCGTCTCTATATGTATGTATAGAGGCCGTTACACAGCACGAAAGACGCGGGACAAAGGAAAAGGGGATCGAAGATCTTGGCGGCGTCGAGGCTAATTACACGCCAGTCGACGCATGCCTCTAATTACACTTGAAAATATCAACGACCAACAATGCTCATTGCTCTTTTTATTTTTATTCGCCCTAATGCCATTTCTCCTGCTCTCCCCACCCCCTCACTCGCTCGTTCACTCTCTCTCTCTCTCTCGTTCTCTCTCTCTCTCTCTCTCTCTTACTCTTTCTCGAATGCTCTCGCTTGTGCGCACTTTTGCACTCTGACTTCAAATGAAACGTCAATTCGTGCATGATTACCTGAAATATAGCGAACTATTTGATAAATGAACGTAATTATAATCAAGTGTTTTCCGTTGATTTTCTACCGATCCTGAGAATTTCCTGATGTGCTTTGTTTCGCTCAATTACGAATATTTGCTTCGCCGCTGTTAATTTCGGATCAAACATTCTTCAGTGAGTGAATATGATAGAATCTTCGTGATTCTAGGAGACGTTTTTCCGATGTTTTAAAAAATTATATAGCCCTGGTAATTTATGAGTAGACAGCTGTTATTAAGTATTACTGATGTTAATAGCGTGTAAAGAAGTTTCATTTTTCAAAGGAATAACGCGATGGCTTATCAATTAAACCGTATCGCATCGATCTTTATGTGTCTGCGATGGGACATAATGAATTCGAACTCCTCCAAGTAACTAGATTCCGATTTATCGATTGCGCAATAGTATTGTACAATGTATTGTGATTTAACTGCGTAGGAAAAACTGTGAAGTAAGGACAACAAGCAGCGTCCCGATAAGCGAAGCTCGATTCATCATTCTCCACAATCAAACAATCATTTCCTAACAAAGAAAAGAGACTAACGTTTGAGTTAGTCAGATATATATATATATATATATATATATCTGATGTATGTATGTATTTATGTATGTATATATACAACGCATTTGGTATAATAAGAGCGATGGGAATGACGGCGGACAGAACAGGCTTATTGGAAAGAAGACAGGGACATATATAGCAAGCCGGAGAAAGTGTTCCCGTTCGGCAATGGGAGAAGTCAGTGCACTCGGACACTTCAGGTATCAGCCCCGGGGCCGGTTGGAGGCTGGCCCCGATGGGCTTGGGCCCGTGCCAACGGGAAAGAGAGAAGGGCCGCGGTCTCGAATTTCACGTACACCGGCCGCGCTAATGGCTGGAAATTAGTCGCGCGGATCATCGAGAGCGGCGCCGATCGGAAGTACCGCTACGGCGAAATATCGCTGAGCGAAAAAGTCGAGCCTCGTGCGCGACGTCTATCTTGACGGGCGATCGACGGGATCCTCCGTCGAGCCGAGACCGCCGTATCGTCGAGCCGATCGTAGGCACGAGGTCCGCGACGTGGCCCTCGTCGACGTGTATTTCCCGGCTTGCGGTCGCTGACTTTTTTCCTACCGCGAGGAAGGGAGTGGCGGAGTGGCGGAGTGGCGGCGGCGGCAGCTGGGACTCGGGGCGTCTACGATGATGCGGAAAGAGAAGGGAAAGAAAGAGATGAAGAGAGAGAGAGAGAGAGAGAGAGAGAGAGACAGACCCTCAGAGGCAAAGGCATCGCGGTCGGTACGAGATGATCGATCGCAGCTCGTTCGGGATATAACGCGCGACTTTTGCTCATTTTTGCGGGCACGGGTAGTCAAGCGCACCAGAGAGGACGAGTCTCCGAGCTTTGACGAGGATGATAGTCAAGTGTGGCCTTACTCGAACGGTTTCGATGGCGATTCTGCATGGATGAGATGAATCTATAATACATTTGAATGTGCGCCAGCCAAGTCTTTGCACCCCCGTTTTTGTCCTTGCGGACTATAGTACCACCATAAGCCCGAATAATTTTAAAAGGCCATTAATTTTTATGTGAAATTTTGCACAAGTAGTGGCTGTAAAAGGTCCCGAGCATTTTTCTCGGTACGCGCACGAATGGGCTAGTGACATTTGAATTAAGTAACTTACGCTATGATGCTTTCGTTGCATTATGCGTTGAAAGTGTCTCGTGTTTTACGAATAAATTTTCCGAATGCTATATTAGACGTGAAAGTGATAAGTTGTAGTAGTT